GCCCTGGTCTCTAGCCAGTGCTCCTGTTCCTGCACCATAGTGCCTGGGTATTTATCTCCCAGACCTCATTCCTGTAGCCAGCTGCAAGCAGTCACCACCAGCTCTGCTGTCCTGGCGACATGCAGAACACTCATCATGCCCCCTGCACTTCGTCATACTTCCCTCGTGCCTTTTACTCCTTGGGAGTAAAAGTAGGCTTCCGCGCTAGAAGCCACCGCATTCCTCCAACTGCTAATTATTTCCTGTTAATTTTTGTGATTGCTGCTGAGAAAAATGCAAAAGGAAGGCAAAGACACCAGATTTTGCTCATTGCATGTTTTCATTTTTAATTAAATAAGTCAAGTAAGCCATCAAGAGATGGGTTCACATTCTGTTCCACAAAGCAGACCCGGACCGGTGGTGGCTGCCAGCTCTCTGAAGGGCAGCTCCTGTGTTTCCAGGAGACGGCAAATTGTAGCCACGACAAGGACATCTGAGACATTGATGGCATGGGGCTGGGAGCAATGAGGCCAAGCAGAGTGAACTCCGTGCTATACATACACACAGGTGGACACATATGTACACATCATGGCCACAGATGGCCACGAAGGGAGTATCCTGTACCATGTGGCCATGAAACATGATACAGGGTGAGGTCTTGGCAAAAAGACAGTCGGCAGGATCCAGGAGGGAGCAGGGGAAACACGCGGGCTTGGCCAAAAACATACAGGTGACATGGAGATCAGGGGATGCCCAGGTCAAGCCCAGACTTGGAGGAAGCAGGGTACATGGGTCATTTTACCTTCCAAATAAAAGACCTGATTACAATATGAACTAGGCTCAGGTGGATGGCACGGTGTCTGTCTCCTCGGAAACACGTAACCGATTAGTCCCCCGGGCAGAGTCATGGAATGACAAAGGACACAACATTGAAGGGTCTTGAAGCTGTTAAGACACCTGAAGTCATCAAATCTGCTTTGTCCTTTTGAGGTAAAGAGCAGCTTCCACTATTCCTGGAACTGTGGCAGTTGGGAGGCAACGTGGCTGCATTCAGAAAACCCTGGGCCCTCTCCCTCCTGTCCAGTTGGACCACGTTCTAGGAACCTTCACAAGCGAACTCAGGAAGCAGAATCCCCTGGGTTTCAGTGGATGCTCCTTCTTTCAGTTTGTACAGGTTGACGAGACCTACTTAGCCTCTGCAAGCATTGGCTCCCAGACCCCCCCGCCCCCCCCTCCCCGAGCTCTCCCTGACTCCGGAACCCATCCTCCTGAGAGTTGCCTTTGCTTTCAGCCTTTGGGGACTGGAGTGGGCGGGGACTGTCTTGGGGACGCAGCCACCCAGTCCCCTTCTGCTCCTGCCCTTCATAATCCAGGGCCTATCGAGGGACAGGCCCCATGGCCAATTAAAACAGACCCTAGTGTGGGAGAGGATCCCCCAGGGTTGAAAGGGACCTTCCAGGTCAGGACCATCTGATGCTTACATCTGTCTAGGCCAAGCATCTGTCCTCTGGGTCGGGCATCCCCTGACCTGCTGGAACTTGTTCTGTCATCAGACAGATGGCAGAGGGGGCAGAGAAAGATGCCACTGTAATGAGCTGAGTGGGTGTCTTCTGTTCTCATGGTCTGGTCAGCAGCTGCCCCGTTAGACCAGTCCCTGGCTGACGGTGCTGGCAGATAGGGAACAAATTCCTAATTGAACATTTTTTTTCTGTTCACTTATTTATTTTCAAGTGTGTGTATCACATAAAGGGACAAAGACTAGAATTCTTCATGTCTCTCAACCTTAGTAATATCTCAGTGACAACCTGTGGGGGCGTGTGACAGAGCTTCCCCCATGGACTGCTCCCGAAGACCCCGTCCTTCCCTGTGCCTTCTCCATCCCCCAGTTTACAAACAAGGCACAGAGGAGAAGCCAGAAATGGGCAGTGGTGGCCATGGCTTGTGGGCGTTAGACACTGCCCCGTCTCACCAAGGTCTGGAATGCTCTGAGCTATTTATATAGGCCAGGCTAAAGAGCTCTTCTTCAAGAAGAAAAAAATGAGTAAACGCACACTGCTGAATGGCCCTCTTGTTCTGGGGAAGCGGGTAGCTGTGAGGTGAGGCCTCAGCTGCTCCCTCTGTCTCCAGGCAGGTGGGTGCTGCAGGGCCGAAGGCTCCTGGTGGATCAACGGAGAAGAGAGAGCTGGAAAAGAAGGCACCAGCGAAGTTCCATGCTGAAAGCCCCAAAGGCACGACTCCAACCAGGTGCCAGTGAGTGTGGAGACAGCAGTCACCCCACCCTGTCCTTCCCCTAGGGTTCCCTGAGCCCTGGGGAACACTCACTCATGTCCTGCTTCAGAAACCTGGGCAAAGGCCGTATGGCAGAACGGGCCTTCTGTTGCATCTTCAAATCAACAAGAGGAAACCAAGGAATCTCCTCAAACAAAAGTCTGGGGCCGCCATGGCTCTTGCAGTCTTGGTTTAGTCCCCTCTCATATTCTGAGTCATCTCGGAGTGCCCTTGTGTGCAGTGAATGCATAGTTTCTATTATTAGTTTGTCTTTGTTGATTTGGATACAGCTTTGAGTCCCTGCAAATAATAAGGTATTTCTGTCTCTTCTTTTTCACAAAATAAATAAATAAAGTCAACTGGCAGTGTACAAACTGTCAATGTCCTGAGAAGTCCCAGAGGTCCACTCCTGGTACAGTCCTCAGAGCTCAAGGTGGAGGCCTTGGCCCCAGACATGGAAAGGAAGGATGAAGTCGGCCGGCCATAGCAGGAGGACCCAAGAGGAACACTGGGTAGAGGAGCGTGTCCCCGCCACCCCCAGTGGGGGACAGCACAGGCTGCAGGGCAGGGGCTGGGGAAAAACCGCCAGCACTTCTGGGCCTGCCAGAAAAATACAGGCCCCACTCTGTCCCTGTTTTCAGAGCTGGAGTCCCTTCAGACCCCAAACTAGAGTCAGCTCCCTACAAAACTTATTCTTGGGCTGGAAAACCTACAGTGGAGACCTCCTTGAATGGTGAAGTCCGTGGAGATGCAGACCCAGCAGCTCAAATATGGCGATTAGAACGGACCCCACAAGATGGGTGCCATCCTCACTTTTTCAAAAGGCAGTTTCTAGACAGGACATGCCCCTTCCTTCCTGAAGCAACACCAGCTGGACTCAGAGCCTGTATTTCCCTCATGTCCATATTCCTCAAACTAAAACTCGGTCCTCTGGGTTTGACAATGGGTTAGATCTGACAGAGAGGTTGTCCAGGAAATCAGAAACAGCCCTCAATGAACTGTGACAGCTTCCTGCAAGTTCTAAGATAATGCTGAGCTTTGCTCCGCGGGTTGGCCTAGGAGTGGGGAGAGCCTTCCACTCGGGGGATGTTGGTGTTTGGTCATAGGCCCTGACCCCTCAGGAAGTGTGATCGGGCCTGGGAGAGATATATAAATCTGGCCTCTTTTCCGGGCAGGAGTGAGGGTTGCTAATTTATGCTGCTTCTGGACACATATCAAAGAATGCTGGTGGTTTCTGAGATTCGTTTCACGTGGCGTTCAAACAGGAAAGCCTGTGTGGGCTGTCACGTGGCCACCTAAGCTCTGATCCTTCTGGGACGAGGCTCTTCCTTCTCCTCCTTTCCCTCTAGCAAGAGCCAGAGTGCTTCCTATTGGTCCTCCCAGAGCCCCCTCAGCCCCTCAAGCACAGATTGCTTCCAAAAGGCACTTCTGCAGAAATAAAAATGAAAACACAGCCATAAAACAAGACACCAAACCATAAATACCCTAAACCTCCCCAGCAAAAAAATCCCCCAGAAAACAAATACCCAGTCCATCCGAAGTTAAGCAATACTCTTCCCAGAGCCCTCAAGGAGGAATTCCAGACCCTAACCTCATAACTGTGGTGACCAACCAGGAGGCTGACCTCTGTCCCCTATCTTCTCAGGGGAGGGGCTATCCTGATGTGACTTCTCCCCCAAGAGCACTCTGGAATGTCATGGGCCCTGCCCCACGGAGGCCTGGCTGGGAGCGGCAGGACCCGAGTTGCTGTCTGCTTCCAGGGACCACAGCTGCATCTGCCAGTCAGGCCTGAGGCAGCCTTCAAATACAGACATGCTCTAGGGCACCAGCCAAGCTGGGAAGGGGACTTTGGGCCCCAGTTACGTGAGGGTCGACCACACCATTTTAAAACATCCTGCCTGCCAGCAGTGAGGACGTGAACAGGCCAGCGGAAGTAGCCCTGAGACTCCAAGTGGGCAGGGGTTGCGGACTTGGCAGTTCTGTGTCCACCGTTCCTCCTAAACCCAGTCGGGAAGCAGGGCTGTGGTCTATGACCATATTTCCTTCCCCTGCTCCCAAATAATCAAAGGCTCCTCTTTAGGCATGTGATACAGATAATCCCTAGAACCCCATGGGCATAAAACAATGGGAAAGCTGGTGTTTATTTATGTGTGTGTGTGGAATTGTGTTTTTATGATGTTTTCCAGTGTGTGCAGTGTGCATGTAGGTATTTGTCTTTGTGTGTGTGTGTGTGTGTGTGTGTTTTGTAGCTCTTTACAGAGCAGATTCCATCAGGGACCCACCCAGAATCCACACTGCATTGTGTAGAAATCCAGATCCGGAGACTGTGATCAGTGCCCACAGTCCCCTCTGGCTGCTAAACATTTGGGGACTCTGGCCTACAGGGTCTACAGGCATTTATGCGTGCTTCATATATGTTTCTGTGTGTGCCCATGTGCAAGAGAGAGAGAGAGAAATAGAGAGAGGGAGAGAGATACCGTCAATAAGCGGGGCCTGCCTAGGCTTGCCCCTTGGGTTGGGTCTGATGGCCCTCAGGGGGGCACGGCACTATCCTGTTCTCAGCAAGGAACTCCAGCCCTCAGCTGCAGTGGGGGAGCTAGCTGACTGGGGGCTACTTCTACAGCAGAGGGGCTGCCTGCTCACGGCACAGCTTCCCGCCATCCTCTGCGAGCGCCGCCAGCTCACAGCTGGCCTGGTGTGAGGAAGGCAGGGCGGGACTTTCCCAAGGAGGGGTGCACGTGGCCCCAGACCCCCTACGTGACCCAGAAGGTGCCTCGCTCCTCCAGCAGGCTGACAGAGCGGTTGGTGAGGGAGGCGGCATCCTGCGCCAATTTGTAGCCGAAGAGGCGCATGGCGGGGCCGCAGGCAGCCTGCACCACCTGCGCCAGCTTGAAGGGCATGCTGAAGCGCCACTTCTCAAACTGCTCCGAAGAGTTCTTCTGCGTGGAGTAGATGCCGCTGCTGTCTCGGGACGCCTGGGTGTTCTTCTGGATCCAGTCCTCCACCTGCGGGGTCAGGGGGATGCCTGCAAAGCGGTACATCTCCCGGGCCTTCTCCAGCGGCCTGCGGGCCACGTCCTCGTAGCGCACCAGCATGTAGCGGCCCTGCAGCCAGGCCGGCTGCCGCAGGCCCAGCTCGGCCGACAGGCGGATGCTCTCGCAGTTGCCCCGCAGCCGCTGCACCTCCTCCTCTCTCAGCCGGTCCTGCCCCTCAGCCAGCCACTTCTTCCAGGTCTCGTACTTGCCAGCGAAGGCCACCATGCGCGAGGCCAGCACGGCGCGGGGGTCGCGCACCAGCTGGATGACGCGCAGGTCCAGCCGGGGGTCCTCGGCCAGGGGCTGCAAGAACTCCAGCTGCCGGATGCGCACGGCCTTGAGCGCCATGTGCTCCTTGCGGCGGCAGGCCTCGGCCGCCAGCGTCACGTTGAGGGGGCCGCAGCGGCGGTTCTTGCAGTGGTACTTCTCGAAGACCTTCTTGACGAAGGGCGTGCACACGGGGTCCTCGCAGAGAGAGCGGCTGGAGCCGCGGCGGAACATGAACTGGGTCAGGTGGTCCTCCGGCAGGGGGCTGATGAAATGCTCCAGGACGTACAGGTCGCACAGGAAGAGCTGCTTGAGCACGTCGCGGTAGACCAGGGCCGAGCCCGCCGCGCTGGCGCCGCCTGGCTCGAAGGACACCGTGCGCTCGATGTGCCACAGCGGCTCGAAGAGGTAGAAGATGTTGCCCTGCTGGTTGAAGAACTCACCCACGAAAGAGGAGCCGGTGCGGGTGGTGGCCATGAGGAGCACGTGGCGCCGGGGGCGTACCTCGGCGGGGCCGCGGGGCCCCCCCTCCCGCTCCCCCTCGGTCTCCTGGGCGGGCTGCAAGCCCAGCTGCAGACTGAGGTTTCGCAGGCGGCTCTGCAGCTGCGTGAAGGCCGAATCAAGCTCACTCAGGGACAAGAGGGAGGCGTTCTCCGCCAAGACCAGGGCTGGGTCAGTGCTGTTAGCATCTACCAGGGACTGGGGGATCTGCTTCAGCTTGTCCGAGACCCTGCAAGGACAGAGGGAGACCGGGGTCAGTAACTGATTGGAGTCTCCATCCCCTATGTAGCCTCCCAGGCTGGTCACGCAAAGCTGTCTGAGTTGGGTTTCCCCAGATGCCGACTTTGGGGCAAGAATTTGGGGGTAGGTAGTTGATTTGGGACACAGTTACGGAAGTGAAGTGAAGAGGGAAAGAAGTCCATAAAGGGTGCGCGGACCTCTCCTGTGGGCCAATCACTCTGACGGGGGAGGGGGCGGGACCCTGAAAGGCAGTGTAGAACACACCTCAGGATTCACTCCCCAGTGCTTGCGCCTTGCCAGTGCGCAGGTGGAGAGAATGCTCGCCGGTGAGGGTAGCAGGGGCTTGCAGTGGGGGCCTGTAGGCACGAACTGCAACAGTCCATGCTGAGGAACACAGGCAGGGCTCTGACTCACTTCAATTCCTACCTATCTTGGTTGATGCTTTCTTACAAGTACTAGACATCAACTATGCGCCAGGGACTGAGCTAACAGCTTTTACGTTTTCTCATTTAATCTTTACAATAAGGCAGACCCCACTATGAGCCATGTTTCAGAGAAGAACTTAAGACAGAAAGTGAAATAAGGTATCTAAGCTGTCACAGCTAGAAAGGGCCAAAATTAGGATTCCAACCCAGGTTGCCTGTGTCCTAGAGCTCAAATCTCACCCCTGAGGACTTGTGCATGCCCCACTGCGTGGGCACAGGAGGGTCTGATGGTCTTTGGTTGAAGGATTGCCTCTGCAGGTCCAGTGTCACCTACAGCCACCTCTCCCCTGTCCCCCTTGTTAAGGAAGACTTGTGCTTACATCCCTCACCTCGATATGATTTTATTTTCCTTTTCAATAAAGACAAAAACCACCACCACAAAAGCCAGGAAAAGGGCATATTTGCTCCTCATCCTCAGACTGTGCAGAAAGTCCCGGCAGTCCTGGGGCGAAGCAAGTCCTTTCTCCATGGGGAAGGGTGGGGCTGTGGGCACTCAGCTCCCGGGCATCACTCAGGACCTGGCTCGTTGTCTTCAGGCGGGGGACACCCTCATCCTGTGGAGAGATGGGCTGTCAGGACACCCTTGTCTGCAGATAAGAACGAAGAGGAGCTTTTCCACCAGACTTTTGAGGATCCTGGTCCTGCTGAGCAGCCAAAACCCCAGAAGCACTCTTCTAATGGACTCTGCCCCAAAGCGACTGGAAATCAGGTCATTTAAAATGCTAATGAGCTCTCTGATTCATCCAAGCCACCTCCAGTAATTTATCCTTTCACTTCACACGACTCAAGGGCAAGTATATAGAAAAGAATGCTCCCTGTAGTATAAATGTTTGCAATAGCAAAAGACTGCACACACGTCAATAAAAAAAAATGGGGGAGGATCTACAAATACTGATGTGAATAATCTATTTATCTATTATATTTTTTTATATATATAGCAAGCAGCGAACACAATGTGTTTATATAGAACCGGGTTTCTTAACCTCAGCACTACTAATATTTTGGACCAGATAATTCTCTGTTGTGGGAGCTCTCCTGTGTATTGGAGGATGTTTAACAGCATCCTTGATCTCATCTCATTAGAAGACACTAGTAAGCATCCTCTCTGCTCAGAGGCGACAATTAAAAATGCCTTCAGAAATTGTTAGATGTCCCCTAGGCAGGGAGGAGATGCAAAATCATCCTGGGTTGAGGACCTCTGATGTAGTGTAATCCTATTTGAAAAACATTTTTTTTTTTTTCAGAGAGAGAAAAATATAGATTCTAAATACAAATAGACTGTTGACTCCGGGGATACTTGAGGCCTCTTAACAAAGGGCTGGGGAGGTCAAGAAAGGGTGGGGTGAGTCTTACATTTGCTGTATTACACTGTGCGCTGTTAGGAATTTTATAATGTGTTCATTTTAGAAAATTAACTAAAGGGAAAAACCCACCACAGGACATGCATTCTAACAAAATCCTGCTCATGGCCTTGGCCTTCAGGTCTCCTGGGGAAGCCTCCCATGGGACAGGTTAGGGCTCCTTGAACCCACCACCATACAAAGACTCCCAGGAGTACCTGAGGCTTTGTCATAAAACAACCCCCTTGTAATGACTTGTTCAATGCTGATCATCCCTTCAGGGAGGACGACAAGTTTGTCTTTCATTTTCCCTTAGCATCTGGAACACAGGAGACACTCAAGCACAGTTGCTAAATGACAGAAGGGATGAAGGAATAAGCTAAATGAAGGTCCCCAGCTGTGCAGCGCGGAGCAGTGGGGCAGCAGGCAGCAATCCCCGTGGGGTCCGGGGGGAGGGGGCGCTTCCTGAGTGTGGGTGGGTGGAGAGGGGCCCCGGGGAAGAGGGATGCAAGGACAGCTGCAGGGCAACTGGAACAATCGCACCTCTTCCAAATTCTTCTGGGCCTTTTCCCATGCACTCATTAAACAAGTATTTCCTGAGCACCTACTGTGTGCAGCCTCTGGTCTAGGCACTGGACATACAACAGTGAAGAGGCGGACCCGGTCCGTGCCCTCATGGGGCTTAGTCTGGTCGGGAGGGCCAACTGCAATGCTATGGGTAGCTAAAGTTCATTGAACGCTTACTACTCTATGCCAGGTGCCATGCTAAGCACTTGATTTGCACTTCCCCATCAAATCCTCACAAAAGTCTTATTACAGAGGAGGAATGGAGGCTGAGGGAAGTACCGTGCCCAAGATTCCTCCAGCAGTGGCCCGACTGCCCCTGCCAGATCCAGGTCATTCAGGCCCTTAATGCCCTTTCCCTGGTGGCCCCCACTGTACCTCACATGGTAGGGCACTCTGGTCTGTCTTTCTTTCCCAGACTGCAAGCTTCCTGCAGTCGGGACTAGCATCCAGAATGACGCCCGGCACAAACCAGCTGCTCAACAAATCAATGATCAGTGAACCTGTCAAAGCTGGGGTCTGGCTTGCTGCCTGGTAGGCTGTTGGTGTGAGTTTGCAGAATGACTCGCAGGGCCATGTTTCCCTTGCACCCTGTTTAGCCCGTGTCAGGTGCAAGGCTGCCTATCCTACTGAGAGGGTGGGACCCGACATTGAGTGTGCAGAGCTCAGACATTAAAATCCTAACTTTGGCTCTGGCAGGTGTGGCTCAGTGAGTTGAGTGTTGGTCTGTGAACCGAAGGGTTGCCGTTTCGATTCCCAGTCAGGGAACATGTCTGGATTGCGGGCCAGGTCTCCAGTCGGGGGCACTTGAGAGGCAACCACGCATTGCTGTTTCTCTCCCTCTCTTTTTCCCTCCCTTCCCCTCTCTAAAAATAAATAAATAAAATCTTTAAAAAATAAAAAATCCTGACTTTGTCTTCTTTGCTGTCAGCTGAGGGTTGTCTGGGTCTGACGGTGTGAGGGAAGCAGAAGGAACTGAAACAGAAGTCCTGGGTTCCAGTCCTTTCTGCGTGTCTACCATGCTGTGTAACCCCGTATAAGTGACTCAACCTCTCTGGGCCTCAGCTTCTTGACCTGTAGCATGGAAAGGTAGTACCTGTTGTATAAGGTTGCTGTAAGGAACAGTATCCAAAGCATGGCAAGTTCAATAAATACTAAAGAGGGAAAAAAGGGTAGGGGTGGGATGGGGGGTGTTATCCTCTCTGTCTTCTCCCTTCTGAGTCTAACATCTTCGATAAGATTTAAAGGTTTGGTTGCCTTAATGACAAAGCTCCTGAGCTTTCCCCTCACCTCCCTTCCCGCACTGTTTCTATTTGAGTTGTCACTCCAGACTCACCACGCCTGGAATAATACAGAGTTCCTACGAACTCTGCCAGCATTGCCGTAAAAGGAAGCAGCAAGGGTGAAAATTCTCTGACGTGAAACACAAGGCACACTACTGGCTCCTTTGGCCTGCGCAAAGGGCACGCGAGCAGGGTGGATGGGCAGCAGGTGAGGGAGGTGCAGAGGTCCCCGAGGGAATGTGGGAGGTCTCCAGACTCAGGAGGCAGAGGCCATAGGTACCAGGAGGTCACAGAGTCACGCGTGAGGAGGACAGGGCCAGGATAGGGTCACTTGGCAGAGCTCCAGGCAGAATCTGCCCTGCAGGAAGCCCTCTGCTAGAAGTGGGTCTGTGACATGTGACACAGACCAGACCTTCATGCTCCCTCCTTCCCCAAGCCAATGTGCACGGGCCTGCTCCCTTGTTTAGCTCATGGGAAGCCAAGACCTGCTCCCTTGTTTAGCTCATGGGAAGAACGAAAAATTTCTTCTTTCTCTTGGTGGGTGTCACCTCCCAGGGGAGTCCTCGATGATTCCTCTCCTAACCACAGCACCCAGCAATGACGTGACAACCAAAGGACAAGTGGCATTCCCCCTACCAGGATGCCAGCAGAAGTCACATTTCCAGGGCATGTGGGCCAATGGTGAAAAAGTCAGCGGCAAGTGCCAGCCCCGTTCTGCCTGGACTCAGACTGCGGTGGGGCAGCTGCTCTCAGCCCACTTATACCCAGTGCTCGACTCCGATGTCCCCTCCTCTGGAATCCTTTCCCTACCCCCTAACCTAACGTTGGCCATCTCCCCTGCCCCATCGCTTCCCCCTCTCAGCCTCCTTCTTTATTTCTTCTTGACAGAAATGTACTTATTTACTGTCTATTGTGGATACCTGAACGCCAGCCTCAGGAGGCGACAGCATCAGCTGTCTGCTCTGCCTTTGTAGTCCACGCCCAGAATCCCAGTGCCTTACTCTGTGCTTCGGGCACAGAGCAAGTGCGCCGTAGTACTTGCGGGTGAACAGAAGAGTGTCTTTCCCAAAGCATTTAGCCCAGCGTGAGAAGCTTAATCATTCTTAATTCATGGGAAATATGAAGAAAAAGCCGTTGTTCCCCGTGAGGGAACCATGCGTGTGCTGTGAGTGTGTATGTCTGAGTGCGTACTGCAGGCGTATACAATAAGCCTGCTCAATGAATGTGTCTCAGTGTGTACCTACCATAAGCAAGTGCTGAGTGTGTGCTATAGGCATATACTATGGATGTGTACTGTGGCTTCACATATTTCAGTCTCTTGGATGATTATATCAACCTGGGATACTGTTTCAAGGATGAAGAAACTAAACTTTGGGGCTTTCAGTTCAAGCCTCTACAGCTGTGTGCTAATGACAGGGAGAACTGAAAACAGCCAAAGGCACCCCAGACAAATCTTAGTGAGGGAACACTGCACAGGAAGAGGGCTGTGAGCAGAGGTCGTCCTAAGCTCTACGCACAGGCCTCCCTCATGGCCTGGCAAGGGGTCCTCACTAGACAAGTTTTCTATCTGGAAGGCTCCCAGCCCGGCCCCTGACTTCCCTGGGCCTTCCCCTGAGGCTTCAAATGGACTGCAGCCCACCCCTGGCTCCTCCTGGGGAAGGTGGGGTCCCAGAGTCTGCTGTGGATGAAGCTCTGATAAGGGACACGCTGTTCCAGACACTGCATCAGGCTGCCAAACTCCACTCCCCTTTCGTGCTCAGGGATAAGAGCAGGGTAGGGACTGTGGCCTTAGCTATTGCAGGCCCTGCTCACACAGCCTTTCCACCAGGCAGGAGGAGGAGCCACCCAGAGAGGAGAGTCTGAGGGAGGGCCGGAGCGGAGAGGGAGGAGGCTTGGTGGACAGGAAAGGGAGCAGTGAAGCCCATGGTGGGAAAACTCGGAATCAACCCATGGGCTGCAGTGCTGGGAGGCTGGGAGGCTGCCCCAGCCACGCCATGTTGCCGAACACTTGTGAGGGGAGGGCTTGGGAAGGTTTTTGCGAGTTGTCTCTGAAGCCTCTGGAGAGTGGAGACAGGCCGGACAGGGAGAGGGAGCTCAAATGCTGGGCCTGCCTCTGTTGTAGACGGTCTTTGCTTCAGGAACACAGAAGTCCATCCAGTGGCCTGTCAGGCTAGGTTCTATTTCACAGAGTGACACCCAGAGATGGCTTGGGAAGGACCAAAGCCCCCACTATCTCAAGATTAGTGTCTGACAGGTGAGTAAATGCCCAGAGGCTGTCGGATGAACCAATGAGTAAAGGAAGAAGAGAAGGAATGAAAGAATGAGGAGGTGAATGCACGTGTGGCTAGTGCTCCCCGGTGCAGCTCG